ACATAGAACCAACAGAATATTGTCGATAGAGTGTATAAGTGTAATCTTCAAATACAAAATGTCAGTCGATAATGAGTGTGCTCAGAAAGATGCAAACAAACTGAAAACCTCGAATATAGTCTTATAAACGGCAATTCTTTCTTTAAACATATATTAACTAATTGATGTAAAGTACTATAATTTAGAAATCTTTGTAAAGCAAAACTATAAAAACTTGCAGCTCGTAAAGACAAAGCTGGCAAGTCTTATTTCCTTGGATTAGAAAATATGATAAAAATAATAACTCTAAACATTTTTTTTAGATTTTTTTAGCCTTAACTAGACAACTCTCAAGTGGTTATAATAGACGAGATCTTATTAACAAAAGTTATTTTAATAACTATTTCTTAAACAATGAAATAAAAGCACTTGCACTAAAGTTTTATCAGAAAACATTGAGTACTCATAATTTAAACACCACGGTGTTTTTTTTTTCTTTTTTGTCGTCGTTGTTTTTAGGCTTTGGTACTTTTAATGTGGAATAACATTTGCGCTTGGTTTAGGAAACAAGCTCTCAAGATCTTTATGGTATTTTCAAATTAGATTCTTCTAATCACTAAAATCTAATGTCGCACAAATATTTATAAACGTAAGTTATAAGTGTTTATGTGTGCTTGTGAGTATCAACATACAAATTCCTCAAGTGTAACAAGCATAAGACACCCGAAGAAATAGTTTACCCTTAACAAATGGTTACCGACTTTATGTAAGCACACGGGAATGAAGTTTCTCAAAAAAAAAAGATAGCCCTGTCCTGTTTACGAAGGTGTCAGTTAATGATCAAGGTCAAAGATGCTATATAACTTTGTTGTGTAAAAACTAATTTTTTATTGCCTTTTGTGTTGTTATTCTGGTCAATGAAATTATACCGTATTTGATACAGCTGTCATATTTATATTGTTTGTCATCAGCAAAATCATTCTAGTGAATGTAGCTCAAGGTTTACATTAATTTACTGGTTATACATAGTAATTGTCGGCGGAAGTGACTCAGTTTATTTAAGGTTACTACAAACATGACTGTACTTGTATTTAGTTATTTGTTGGTCATATATTTGTCAAGTAAGAGCTTGGAATTAATAACTTTTTCTTGGTTTTTACTTAACTATATACCAAAGACAATGTTTCATTCACTTTGAAAATACTATTAAAACTAGAATTTGGTGTTGTATGAAAAAGTTTGTTACACCTTGAGAGCTTATAACGCTAAATGTCGGGGTTCGATCCTTGTAGTGGACACAACATAGATACTGCACTGTGCAGCTTTATGCTTAACTACAAGCAATCATAAAGTGTGGAAATATATAAAACTAGTTAAAGGTGTATATTATTTCTTTAAATGCTTTGATTGGTGTTCTCAATAAAACGAGTTTTATAGAAATATTGAATTGTGTATTATATTGCACAACTATGGTATTCTAACATATTCTACAGAAGAGTAACAGGGATTAACCAATATATCGGTGAATTATTTTTCTTGTGAGATTCTTTTACCTTTGTTTCTCTATCTTGTTATTTATATTTCTTTATAACAGCTACTATTCAAAAATCGTCTAATAATAATGTTCGTTTATGTTTCTAGATTAACCTCCTAGATGGAAAGAGGAGTCTTAATGTTAATATTTTTCTAAAACAATTCCACAGGTAAGCCCTATTTTATCTTTCAGTGGAAATCCTTAATGCTAGCTTTCTAGTTATTTGTCATGAGACAGTGAATAATTAATAAAACATGATTATTCGATTAATATATGAAAATTAACAGTTTCCAAACACGTATAAAGGCTCTCAAACTTTTTTGTGGTAATTTTACTAAATCATTTATTATCATTCTGGAGATTCTAAGATTGACGGTTAACTTCGTGATGCACATGCAATTAACTAATAAAGAACATTTTTACATGTAATATGCTGTTTTATATCTCGATTTAAATTATCCAGAAAAAACATTAATTTGCTAAATAGATGACAGTAGATCAAATTATTGGCTCAAACAGTATATCTCATAATAATTGAAGAGATTATTGTCATTTTGGAACTCAACAACAAGAGCGATTACCTTAAAAAGACATGCTTGATATATTAACATCTGCCAGACCAGCCAGTCCGGCATATCGACGTAGATTAAAAAAAATCTGTTAGTCACTTCGGATTGTTTTGATTAGGCACTATTTTCAAGGCCTAGGTCGCTGGACCAGACCCGTGACTTGACCCGAGACCATAATAGCCAATATAGAGAATTTAACGATGTGGCAGTGAAACATGCTTGAAATGTTCTAGATGTGGTTGTGAATGTGATGGTTTAAGCGTAGCGATTAAGCTAAACCGTGGTTCCAGGTCGGGTGAAGAAATAACTTATTCGAAGACATGCCAATCGATTTGACATACCAGCTGAATCGGAAATTCGTCAATTAATTGCTGCATTGACAGCGAAACAAAAAACAAAGAAAATAAACAGTCAAAATAGTATCGTTAGCTTCATAAAGGGGGATTGAAATCGTATATAAGAAATCATTAGTTTCGATATCTTGTGATACTAACGACACAGTAAAGCCCAAAAATGCAGTGTTGAAATTGAAGCACATGCACGATGCATTACAAGATGGCTTCCCTAGCGATTCTCAAATTAAATATGCCATTTCTGAAACAGGAATAAATATAAGAAAGATGGTATAATGCCCAGTATGATACCACCATAGTATAATCCATATAGATTTCATCAAGTCGTAGTTTCATTAATATGTAGTTCGTGTTTTCTTTTTCTTTTTTAGTAGTGGTGACAAACTTCATTCATAAAGTTCTATCGAAATAACCTTAAATCACCGGTTTCCGGAATGACCCTCTCATCCTATTGACCATTCTGGGCTCAGTACTAAAAAATGTTGCCTGGCTTGTGTGTGGCAGGTGTTAAAAAAGGAAAACCCTTAATGTTAATCATTTCTTTTCAGGCACTTTGTGATATTGTATTAAGAGTAAAAAACACAAAATCAGACATTTTTGGCACAATAAAAGATAAAATATTTATTATTACTTACAGCCGACTAGTTTCGGTAACACAGCTACCATCATCACAGTTACCATATTTTTTGTTTTTTTTACTATTTTGGTAAATATTAGCCCAGGTGATGGCAACTGTGTTACCGGAACTAGTTGGCTGTAAGTAATAATAAATATTTTACTTTTCATTGTGCCAAAAAAACGTTGTTTTTTTTTTCCTATTAATATACTCTTATGTTATTAAAAGAGAATCAGAACAAGTGTTTCTAGGTTAGTATACATTACATTAGGTATAAGAACTTCTTAGAATTTCATGAGGTTTTATAATGTGACAGTAATTCCCACTATTCGTTGGTAAAAGAGTAGCCTAAGAGTTTGCGGTGGATTGTGTTGACTAGCTGTCTTTCCTCTAGTCTATTAATGCTAAATTAGGAACGGCTAACGCAATTAGTTCTCAAGTAGTTTTGCATAAAATTTAAAACAAACCAAACCAATTCTTAGAATTTTATGAAAAACTCGATACGTAACACAGTGTTGTTTGTTAAATAACACAAAGGACTAAATATATATCAGTAATAGCTTGGAGTAGCACATCTATAGGTCTCATAAATTTAATTTTTAAATAAAATATATTTTGTGAAAGAGGTAAGTCAAATAATTAATGAAATACATTTTAAATTTAGAAGTATTTGTCATAAAGACCTTTTTAAGAATGTATGTCTAACAATAGCGATGCTAGAGTGTCTTGATTTAGATACTTACGTGGTTATAACTATTTATAAAAGTTAAGAAAGTTCTATATTTGGCATCATTTGATTAAGCTTAAGTGATCCATTTGTGATATTAATTGCCTTGAATATTAAAACGTCTTTAGTTTTGAAATCACTAGGCGCCCAATCAATCTTTAATCGCTGTTCATTGCAATAAATAAAGGTAAGAATGAACTACAGTTTGAGGATTCGTGAGAATCTGGTGTTTTAAATACTGAAACAGCAAAATTCAACATTTTCGTCTCTCTGCCGACTTTAAGCATGTCCTTTGCGCTTTAAATATCTTTACTTAACATAGCACTTTTTATGTATGTGGTTTATTAACTATCTGAAGTTTTATTTTTTTATTTAGCTTACATTTATTTACATCTTACTTGTAAGAAAAACCGACGGGACAAAATTTAAAGAATTATCGTAATAGAGAGTTAGGTCCTCTCTTTCCTGGCAGGAATTTAGTTTAAAGAATGAGCTAACAGAATGCAAACTCTTCCCAACTGGGGTGCAAAATGTGGATGTAAAATGTGTATAGCCACTGATGCGATGTTCTACCACATCCAGAAGATTCTCAGTTGGATTGAAATTTAGAGATTGGTGATCAGGAATGATGTGTGAAGCCCACATCGTATTTCCACGAACCAGTTCTGCACCAAAAAGGCCTGATGTATCCAACAGTGACATTATTACCTTACTAATAGTCAATTACTGTCTGGATAAATGAGTATCACTATTGTATTTGGACGGCCAAGATCACTAGGGAAGTCCTCCCTGCTTAGCAATTGGCCATTCAAGGGGATTAAAAGTCCTAAATCATGCTAGCTGAACATTGTTTAACTCATTAGACCACCTGGCAGCCTGAACCATTGGTATGACGCAATTGTGTCCAATGATTCTTGAATTTTTCCATATCTGAGCCCCCCCCTCCCCCACTCCTTCCAAGTAGCACAGTGATAAGTCTGGAGAACTATATCACTAAAAAATCGGGTTTCAATACCTGTGGTGGACATAGAATAGATATTCCATTGTGTAGCTTTGTGCTTAACAACAAACAAACCAAATCTAAACCTTCCCATCTGTTCGAAACATGAAATTAATTGACCGCACCACATGACCTTCATTTACTGGTCTTGAGTTTAGTGTTCCAGGCGGATCTTCCGATTTTTATCTGAGATTAGAGATTTGAGAACAGGTAAGCGACTGCGAAATCCAGTGCTGTGCAATTTACATGCTCATTGTTTCGTGGATATTGTGTGTTCCTGACCAGTGTTAAGTATTCCTGTAACAGGTGCGACTGTTACATACCTGTGGTTGACACGTCCTATTTGTCGATGTTCCCTGTCAGTAGTGCTCCTTTGTGCCAGAATTTTTACTTGCCTGTGAACGTTTTCCCTATTTTTTTTTTCCATTCCAGTTAGACCCGGTAGATTATCTTAACAGCCTCCTATTGTCGTACTCTTTGTGAAGTCACTGAAATTCTTATGCTTACCCAAGTACATCTATTGTTTATATAATTTGATCACATGGAATACCAAGGGAACCGGATTAGTTTGCATGTCGGTTCTACAAAACATTTGCTTGTGAGAATTCTGTAATTTTCTTGCCCAGTCAGTTTAGTTTAGCAAATTACTTGAGCCTTTACTAATTTTTTACCAAGCAAATTCTGCAAATATATTCAAGTTATTTTCATTTCTAAGTTTATTGAAGTGAAGAATATTTACTCACCCTTCACTAAAACTAATGAACCGGACGTGGATTAGTAGATAGCGTGCCGGTCTGTGAAATCAAAGGTTTATGTCCGTTTGCCGTAAAAAAATAAATAAATAAATAATAATAATAATAACGCTCCGCCCTTTGGTGGGTACGTTGTAAGTGTCACAATCGAATTTCACTATGCGATTTGAGTAGCCCACGAGTTAACGTTGGGTTTTGTTAACTACTTGTCTTCCCTGTAGTTTATCAGTTCAAAATTATAACAAATCCATGTCGAGCTTAGCAAGAATTTCCTAAACAATCAACAATCTGAAGTTAAACCTAATTTTTCGTCACATGCACATTCCAAATCTTTTAGCGATAATTCACTAAAATTATATTTATTAGCGTTATGAATTTGATCATCTATCGAAATTAATTGACATGCTGACTAGTTATTTTAAGTTAAGGTTACAACTTTCCTCTTTAACATCAAGGTTTCAAAGTATGCGTTTCTACTACTATTACTCCATTGCACATGTTGTGTAAATGTAAGGAAGATTTTCTCCTTATATAAGTCTTCAGATATTCTTCTGTAAAAGTGTAAATCGCATGTAATTCACCTAGATGTAGGGGTCGGTGATTTGATGTTGCTTTTAAGTGAGATGTTTATTTGTTACAGTCCACACGGAGATATAATTCAAGATTTGCGGAAAGGAATACCCACACAGTTGGGCATTGAGGAGTTGAAAGGGCTTTTAAAAAATTCTACCAGAGGATGATGAGGTAAAAAGACAACTTAACAACTTATCTTAGAACAAACATGGTGTTAAATTGTTTTCTCTAATAATCATTTTTTGGAGATAAGTAATAATTTCTATATTTTTTCTCTCGCTCTAGAGCCTTCTCTACAGTTTTGTGATCCATTGTAAAAATGATTGAATCTTAGAAAGTTTGGATAATAGGATAACAAAATTTTGAATATGATCTTTGAATATTAAATGAAATTAATTTTCCCACCCAATAATTATATAACAATAACTACTGTTTGTATGTGTGATAATTATGTTTTGAAAACATCGTTCATTTTCTTAATTAAATAATTTCAAATTACCGGTATAGAAGTTTTCTCACATGTCGTATTAATACTGTTTTTTTTTCTGTTAAAATACAACTTTTGCAGATGAGAAAAGACAGAAAATTTTCTCTCTCGTGAATTGTTCTCTATCATCATTTTCAGCTTTGTTTAACTTATTAGCACAAAAGATAAAATGTTATATCAGGTTATTACAGCATTTTAAAGTGTAATGAAGCAAAATCTTTGGTTGAAGGTAATTTTAGTAAAGGTGCAGAAAAATTTGAATATGTTTAGTCCTTTTATGCACACACACGTGTGTTTATAATAAATATAAATATAACCATACATTTCCCCGCATTATTTGTATAGAGGGTTAAGATAGCTTGTACTATTTCCGTCATTTACTATATCTACAAAAGTATATACTTTCTACCCAAGTGATGATGTGCTCTTAAAATGAAAGCCAGTGACCTCACGTTATATCTTAACCACTTCTTTTCATGTTTGTGCATGTCTATACATGCCAAACTTACCTGTACAGCCCATTAACATCTAATAGGTTATTTTATTCTAAGATGGAAATCGTTGAAAGATTGAGAGACCACTCGTAAACATTCTGAATTATGAAAGATGTTTATTTTAAAGGTATGATAATAAATGGGATATATTTATTTAAAAAACTATACTCAATATGCATAACGAAGTGTCCTTGAGAAATGTATCAATTGGTAAAACTTTAGTGACGTGAATGGCATTTTATTAATGCGCATTTCCAAAATCATATACTGAGATTATGTACATTTATGTTTATAATATTAGCTAAACTGTATCCATAACTAACATATTAAAAGAGTTATAGAGTACAGGTTGGCCAAGTGGATTTCGAAAATGGTAAACCGGGTTCGAATATATGTGATATTTCAATATTCTTCGCGCTGTAAAATGTGGATACGTTATAAGAGAGATAGTCAATCACTTAACGTGGGCGATAAAATGCTGCAGACTAACTGTCTGGTCAATAGTTCAAAATTATGGACGGCGCCAGAAAGCCCTAGTAGCTTTGCCATAAATACAGAACACTAATAAATGAGATTTAGCATTTTAACGTCATATTTTCCGGAAACCTTCCCACCATTTAGATATTATAAACTTTTCTTTTGTTTTTCCCTCTTTTTTTTATAGGCTTAACGCATTTTCTATACGTATTATTTTGTGGGCAACATTTTCACATATTTTTCATGTAGAAATAAAGATAATAAATTATCATTAAACTTCAAATATGCATAATTCCAATTCGTCAATACAAGATGTTTTTCCACCACGGTTACATTCTGAGACAGATCAATGAAAAACATTTATCAGATTTACAAAATACGACATAACTGAATTGCTTGTAATTCTTCTGTTACTGACATTTCACATAGTCAGAAAATGAAATCTGGAATACTTTCCGTTCGGTATTAGCAGATCGTAAAATAAACAGAGTTAAAAGTACGCTGAAAAAAGGTTTTCTGAAAACACTGACGTCTTTTACAGAAATGACAACACGACATATGATTATAATATCTTGCAGAGCTGCTAAAAGCATCGTACGTTGATAAAGCATCAGCTGAATTATTAGCTGAAAATATGTTAAATACTGTAAAAAAAAAGAAGAATAAATTATAGCTCCGTTGTTACAACATTAGGTTAATGTAGTTTATTAAAGACACGATGGGTGGAAGTTGTGCAAGGAAAAGTGTGATAACGTAGCTGTTTTAATTAAAACATTACTGACGTTGTCATAGTAAGTTAAGAAAAGCCCTTTATTCTCTTTCTATCCTGTGTTACAGCTATCATAATTTATAGTACGACTTAAAAATAAAGAAATGTTTTTTTAACAAAAAAAAACATCTTACATCTACTAAAATGATTAGTAAACGAAAACCTATTTGTAGTTAAAATTGCATGTCAGAGTTCTTATACACTAGTCTTCCTGAATGGTTGGGCGTTGCCATGTTAGCGAGCCCGAACTGTGAATTCCATGATTTTTGGTTCGAAGAAATGCATTCCGTTCTTTGTGGTCGCTCCCCCCCCCCCCACTAGCACAGCGGTATGTCTGCGGACTTACAACGCTAGAATCCGGGTTTCAATACCGGTGGTGGGCAGAGCACTGATAGACCATTGTGTAGCTTTGTGCTTAATTACAAACAAACAAACTCTTTGTGGTCCTGGTGTGCTATGAGTAATGGTGACATCCTACTATTCAGTCAGAAAAGAGTAGTATAAGAGTTGGCATGGATACAATTATTTAACTGTCTTCCCTCTAGTCTGTAAGCTCAAAATGAGGAACAGCTATGCGCAGATAGCATTTTGTGTTGTATTGGGCACAAATGTCTAACTCAGTCAATAATTCTTCCAGAAAATATTCAGTGATATTTATATATCGCAAGCTTCGCCAAACAATTCAGTAACTTTATATATCTGTTTGAAAGTTATTGCCCTCGTGTTCTTTATCCTCATCTTAAAATTCCATTTAAAGATAACATCGTACTGTTTATACTGTGGTACAAAGGCCACTTCCAGTTTTTAAAGAGTGAAACTGGGGATTTGTGTTATTTTGATAATACTAGAAAACAGACTTTATATATCTGTTTGAAAGTTATTGCCCTCGTGTTCTTTATCCTCATCTTAAAATTCCATTTAAAGATAACATCGTACTGTTTATACTGTGGTACAAAGGCCACTTCCAGTTTTTAAAGAGTGAAACTGGGGATTTGTGTTATTTTGATAATACTAGAAAACAGACTTAACAGGGTAGATACAAATAAAATATAAAAAGGATGAAGCCTTTGAAAAATATCACAGCACTTAAAAGCACAGAAAATAAAAAAATATTAAAATAACATTCAATAAAATAACGTTATCTTAAACACACAAGCTCTAAGAAATGAACTGAAACGTTACCATCATGAACTGAAACGTTACCATCATGAGACATTAGTTTGTTTTCTTTTATCTAAAAAACGAATTAAAGTTGGAAAGTATTTATCGAGTTTCAGCACACAATACTAAAAAACAGCACACACGAGGGCATTACTCTTTATTGTTCACACAACTTAAGAAAAACATTCTTAGATTAAAGCAGGGCCTTTCAAATAATGGAACAAAGAATTATTTGAAATTAAAATGAATATCATTCTTTCTTTTGATAGTTGCAGTCATATCTTTCTGGGAAAGTTCAACATTTCCTTACAATCATTTCCAAACTCAGCTCTTATGCTTTCCTAACCATCTTGTACTATTCTTTAACTATTGTCCACATAGATATAACTTACCAAAGCTAGATTAGAAGATTGTAAATTGATCACTAAAAATCAGTACAAAGATGTGTTAAATATAAACATATATAAATATCGGGAAGTTGCATTAATAGAACAATCTGCCTTATAAATTCTGACTAAGAAGAGTTATAGGAAACATTAAGACTAAAAACGAATTGATCTTACTGCGAACTATAAAATTACACTACATTTGATTCCTAAATCTAATATAGTTGACTCAACTTGAGTTAATCCAATCAGAAGCTTTAACACGTTCATAGTATTGGTGAGAAGCAATGATGGAAGTTGATACTTCTGGTTGAACCGATTAGGTTTATATGATCTTTTCATTCAGGTAATGATCGAAATTTACTTCAAAATTTATACATAACTGTGGACAACCTCAACATACAACGCTTGAAACGTGGCTCATGAACTGTCCTCAAGAGAAGTCGGATTTATGTCCATGCTTGTGTTGTACATTGAACTAATCAATATGTTTATTTTTGGAATACAGAGCATCTACTATACATTACAGAACACAAACCTTCCCTCTGGTTAGGTTGAGCTTAGTGCTTAGCGTAGTGGACTGTATACCCGATGGTCCAAGGTTTGCGTCACGTTCTGTAAATTACCATCCGTACTTTGGAGCTGTGGTTGTATTATAAAAGTAACGCTCAAACACCACTATTCGATCATAGTTTCCCAATAGTTGGTTATTGATACTGTTGACTAGCTGCCTTCCCTCTAATCTATCAGTTTAAAATTAGGGACGGCTAGAACAGACGGCCCTTGTGTAGCCTTACGCGAATATACAAATTAAACCTTCTTTCAGGCGACCAATTATATGTATACTGTGTATCTTTTATTATTTAAAACGCAAGAATACCGCATGGACGTTTCGAGGTCAACACTTTAAAATTAAAGAAAACGTACTATCCCTTTTTGACATGTAAAAGGAAAGAAAAAGGTACTGTCATTATGCTTACTTACATGAACACGCATAGTATTGAAAATACATGAACACATCATAACGATATAAAGAGAGACCGCCAGAGGCACTTTGTATATGCATAAACTTAAACTATACTTCCTGTAAAAAACAAGAAAAAAGTAATGATAAATTTACATAGAAGCAGGTAAACTCCTGGAACATATTTTTTCAGTTTAATGTGAATAATACATAAATATCTGAAAATGAAATAAGCGTACGTAAAATTATCGTGTTAAATGTTTATTAGCAGTGTCTTGAGTCCCTACAAATCTAACCTAAACCGATCGAATTTTAATTTTCTATCAACATCTTAATTTCAGTTATTGCCTCACAATTTAGATCTGTCATGAAACAAGTTTCAATCACATCTTTTTATTTCGATAGATCAAACTTCTGAAAGGATATACAGGTGATATCCAACGACTTGGAAGTGCTGAAAAGTTTTTCAGTCAATTATTAGGCCTACCTGGGTATGTATTGTTATGGATTCTAGTTTGTTATATTTTTTACTACTAGGGGCATAATAGAGTTTAAGTTAACAGTTGATAGCCAAAGCAGAGTCACGGTGACGATGTTATGTATATTGTATTCTCTGAAACTTCGTAAGTAGGTCTTGAATAGATGCCACGAACTTAATCTTAAAATCTGATGTGTGCGTGTGTATTTTCAAAAATTAGTTGACACGTAAAAATAAGGAAGTAAAAAGAATTTTTAGAAGAATTCAAAACATATATTCTTGATTATTAACCCTAGAAATACTGATTATATGGACCTTATTAGTTTTTTTCTAAACACATTTTTTTCTAAACTTCTTATTCACTAAATTGCTCGTGGGCCTATGACCTAATTTATTACAGAGCTAATAATAATGTATTAAGTTTATATGAAAAATATCTAACTACGTTTTTTCAGCACAGTAAAGTTAAGGTGAGGAAAAAATAGAAGTTATTAGAGTAATCTTACTAAAAACATTAAAATCCACCTGAAACGTGATATTATTCAGACTTGTGCGGTAAGCACATTCAAGACACAATAACTTTAAGTAACTTTAGATTAACGATGTTTTATACAACTATAGTTAAAAGTCCATGATGCCTTGAAAAAACAAACACAAAATATGATGTATTATATAAATGCGTTTACATTTAAGCATCACTAAACCATAGTTTCTAGTGGTATGGGTGGAAAATGCTTTGTAGTTACTCGTGAACTTTTGAAGCCACAAATCAAAAAGTAATGTATTTAAATTATACTAAATAAAAGGAAGCATTACGGTTATAAAACGGTAACATTAAAAGTTTTCGAAAACAAAATATGAATAAAATCTGTGTTGTTACCAGGTTTTTAAGTAGCTGTGCCATAATTTTCTTATACGTGCCATACACTAATACAAGTTTATCCTGAATTTTATTATTTCTGGCCTACATACAACTTATTAGAGGAAGAGCTTATATTAAAATATAAAATGCAGAAGGTAATTAGGTTTTCACATAAATATTATATTAGGTTAGATTTTAACGGTGTTTGTTGCATGCTTTCTTATCGTATATAACAACTTAAATGAATATATAATATAATAATAATAAACTTTGTTATAAATAATATTAATAATAACAATATATTGCTTTTAACAGTTACATTTACTTTTTTAATTACATACACAAAAAACTATATTTAAGGCTAAAAAATAATTTTTACTTTAACGACCTTCACCAAAATATACTGGTCTGCTTTGGGTAAAGATACTTGTTTGCGTCATAGACTTTACCGCAGAGCGACGTAACATTGTTTTCTCCTTGACGTCAGTACCGTGTTGAGAGGATGTGACGTCAGTCGCATCTGTATTAGGAAAATGTAATTGTTAAAGATATTTGCGCCATATTTATCAGATTACATAAATCATTATATGCATATTTTCGATTTCTAGTTTTCCTAATGCAAAGCAATCAAAGATTTTTTAAAATCTAAAGTAAAATAAATCAGCATGATAATGACAGGGAGAATTTAGATAAACACAAAAACTGATTGTCACTGTTTCGTTTAAATATTTAGTTATATTTTACAGCTTATAAACCACGAACATTAATAGTTTGGTTCACATTATAAGCTTAATCACTGGAAAAAATTTTTAGCAATTCAGACTTTAATACCGATTGATTTGTTTGTTCATCGCCAATTATTGGGGTTATTCTAACCGAATAGTGGAATTGAATGTCACATTATAACACCCCCACGTCTGAAAAGGCAAGCATGTTTGATGAAATGCCTATTGAAGAACGTTTGTTTGTTTTTGCGCTAGCCGTCCCTAATTTAGCAGTGTAAGACTAGAGGGAAGGCAGCTAGTCATCACCTCCACCGCCAACTCTTGGGCTACTCTTTTACCAACGAATAGTGGGATTGACCGTCACATTATAACGCCCCCACGGCTGAAAGGGCGAGCATGTTTGGTGGTATGCGGATTCGAACCCGCGACCCTCAGATTGTGAGTCGAGCGCCTTATCCACCTGGCCATGCCAGGCCGGATTGAAGAACGTTCCAATGTAATCTATTAAAGGTGTTTTGTTTGTTACTTTATCGAATACTGTACTGAATAGATGTTTGTGTTTAGAAACTCATTCTATATAATGGAATGTGATTATTGTTATCTTTAATCAGTATTTAAAACAGTATTCAACATATTTCCCGGATAGCCAATATTAACGATAAAACTCTTAGTAATTTGATTATATCACGATACTTTTATTTGCATAACATGCTACTTTGTGAGCATCTTTCTTGCTGACGAATGATCACATATCGATTTGTAATGTATTTCCTCTACTGCTGAAGCAAACTTCGATCGAAATGTTACAGACTACAAAAAAAAAAACAAGAAAAACCTTTGCTTTAGGCATGGAAACTATTGCTTACTTGGTTCAATAGAAAGGACCAAAGAAAACACAATATTAAATACAAAAAGAGTACTAGGTTTTCTCAGTCTAAAAACCAGTTTGTATTTGTGTGTATTCAAAGCAGGAATGTCAAAAACTATTTTAACTAGTATGCGGTGTCTTAGGGGTTTATTAATATTGTAACAAATAATATATCTTAACTCTTTACTTACTTTGTTGTTATTTTCTTTTTCAACCACAGATATAAGCTTAGAATTGAAAGTTTATTACTGAAAGAAGAGTTTGATTCGATCTTCGTTTCTTTAAAAGAAGGCCTAGAAACAATGAAATTTGCGGCTCGAGGTAACTGTGTCCTAATTTAATTTTCTGATATATCTACTTTTTAGTAAACTATAAAACTAAATGCTAAAACTATTAAAGTGTTAAATTTCTTACCAGTGCTCGTTTTAAAATTGAGAACTTGACATTTATTTATTTTTGATAATGAATAAATAGTTATTTTTGATATGACATCAGATGCTGTGACATAATAATCAAATCGAACCGGAGACGTACATCTAACATATTTAGCTGCAAAAAAAAAGTTTTCTATTTAATGGCAAATTGTTTTTTTATGATAAACTTACCGAGGCTCAACTATTGATATTGAAAGTCAAAAGTTATAGTTCTGATGGTTATCAAACCACTTATGTCAAATAGTGGACGAACAAATGTTTGTTTCAATAATAACAACTATAAGGTTATCTTTATGACACGAAAGTTTAAAATTGTGTATTTTTAAGAGATTAGAAACATATTACCTTGCTAAGTTTTAGTGCTTTCAATGCTGACAGACCAAATTCATCTTTATTGTTTACTAGAAATCAAAGAGTGCCAGAGTCTGCATGAAATCCTGTTTATGGTGCTTGTTGCTGGAAATTTTCTAAATGCAGTAAGTTGGTATTTAAGTTGGATTTTGTTTATGTGTGAAATGATGATATAGTTTCTAATAAGCACAGCGTATAAGCAAAAGATGAATTTTGACAAACTATTTTTTGCGTGGTTTTTAGTGCGTTTTTCTGAAATTGTTTTGATTAATTTTTCTATTAATCGCATGTGAAAACGATAGGTATTCCATAATATCAGCCCCCAGTGGCACAGCGACATGTCTGTGTACTTGCATCGCTAGAACAGGGTTTCGATCCCCGTGGTGGTCAGAGCACAGATAGCCCATTGTGTAGCTTTGTGCTTAACTTAAAAACAATACAAACAAAACAAACATTTCCCTAATATCAAATATCTTAAATGGTCAAAATTAATTTAATACCTTTAATAAACATATGGCAAAATTTGAAACTTATATATATATATATATGTAAATATTTTTGTAAAAGTTACGTGTGGACTTTATAGAAATACTTTTTTTTCGTTTCAAAGAATTTGATCACGTTTGAAAAAATGTTATTTCTGTGTTTTATTTTTCATTTGTTATTTATAGTGAATAAATCGTGATCTTCTCAACATAAAGAACTACATTCTATGAAGCTAAAACGAAACAGTCACTTGCCAACATTATATTATCTGCGTCACAAACAAAATTGCATAATGTATGAACTGAAATGATATAGAGTATAATAATATTTGTTTGTCTTGGAGAACTGTACTAAGCGTTCTCGTTGTCGCATCGAACACCAGTGTATGGTATACGTGCCAAATGGTAGGTGCCATTCTGTACGGTGTAGTTTCTTTATAATGCCAAAATTCGTCGAGTTTCTTGTTTTCGTTTTTTCATCTTCTTTTTATGCATTATGTAGAAATAACTTAAAGTAGTGAATGGCTGTAAGTATATAGATATAGCATTTTATGGTTAAACAAGGTGAATTACTCATATGACATTATAACCAAAATATTTAGACTACAATAACTGAGAAAATTAAGCATCAAAGACCCTCATAGATTGCTACCTTTCAGTTGCAATTTTAGAGTCGTCCTAACCTCTCTGAAAGCCCACTTGACGAACACTACTTCTTTCGTTTTAGATAACAATTTTCCACCATCAGCTGTCAGCCACTGTGGTTGAGTCTTTTATAGTGGCGATCCAAAACATACTGGAAAAAGTCCAAGCGCTGGACCATTGGCAGCCATAACCTGGCTATGCTGCATCCAATACTCCACCAGGACTGTTCAGTTTCTTGAGGTGACGATTGGAGAAGTCTGACATAGGTTGTTTGAGGTAGTATCACTGGATGATTCTCTTGGTTTTCCTGTTTATTTCTTGAGCTATGTACCCAATGGTCAGGTTAGTCTTGGTATATCCAATGATGCTACCTTTGTGTTGTATGGTGATACCATATCCTTCTCTCGAGGTGGATTCCTGTATGTGGTGAGGGGACTTCCCAGGGAAGGTTCTGTATTTTCAGTACTTCCTCTGGGATCTGAGCATTCACCCGCGTGTTTGTCGTGTGTGGTGACCCGTGAAGGGGAGGAGAGGATTCTGGTGGTTGAGTGGTGTCTGGGGCACTACAACACACCACTTTGGCCTTGAATTCCTGTAGAAAGGTGGCCTTGAGGTGGCCCCCAGGGTCAATCGGCTGGTCCTGTTGGGCGTTCTCAACGGGTGTTATGGGCATTGTGTCTGATGCTGGTGCTTGAGTACAGTGCTCACAAAACCCAGGAATTACTGCGGTATCCTTGTTTGGCATTGTAGTGCGTCCCCTCGTAGGACCCCATGGTGGGTGGGGTCAGTGGGCACTGAATCTTTCTCCTTTTATTATGGATCCCTCTATCCAAAAAAATATAATAGTAAAAACACAGCTTATTGGTAAACGACCACGCCTTGAAGACTCAGATCAACAATCTTCAACTCATCTTAGTCCTGTACCTCATTTTTTGATTTCGTATTCCTTGGCAGACAAATCTTTAGCACAACCTCCAGATAAGAAATGTTATTACCAGTTTTTAAATGCTGTACCTCTCTCTCCTACACTCACTTAGGGCAAGAACGAAAATAAGAGGGAACCACTGAAATTGGTGCAGTGATGCTCCAGTTGACACACGAGAACGAGCACATGCCACAGAACCACGACAAGATGCCTTCAAATGACCAAACTGCTCATACTGAAAACACCAGAGAGGGTTGGGAATATATGGCGGTACCTTAAAATGAAGATGATCTGCCTTGACAGAAGCAGGCTGACGTGGAGATGTAAACGTCAAAATAGAAGCATTGGTAGGCAGCACAATCCCTTCTTCACAGGTGGAGATACATCTCAGTGCAGAGACTCCTTGGCTGGAAAACCAACGAGAATCTCCGACTCGGGGATGTTCTTCAAGTCCCTCTCAACAATAACTTCTCGTGAAGAATTCAAAGTAGCATGGGAAGTAACCTCTATAGGTATATTCCAAATGGCTTTTGAATTCAGGAGGAGTTCAGTGTGTTTTGGTGTAGATGTTTCCACCAAGATGTCCCCAGAACGTAGCTTCTTGACTGACTTTGGAGAACCAGCAAGCCCCTTTAATCCCTTTTGAATAAAAAAGGAGACATCTCTATCTCGGACATATGCTGCTGCACTACATTCCACTATTACAGTGGGTGTGCAGACAGTGCTTTCTGTACCTTCATAAGAGTCTTTTTCGCATCATGTGAAGAGTGGTTTTGACCTCACTGGATAATTGAGTTGACAGGTCCATGTCTACTCCTGTCTCTGTCCCACCATTCCTTCCAGTGACTGCCCAGATCCATTTCCTTTGGCCCTAGCTTCTGGTGCCTGCTCGGGTCCATCTTTTTCGGCCCCGTGATGCAAAATTGTTATTCGTTCACGCCCTTAGTCACTGGAATCTATGTCTACTAACAAAGACTTGCCCACTCATCCCAGGACAAGATCCATGGAGATTGACAGACCTCCTTCTAATAAAGAAAAATGGCGTGGTCGTAAACCGAAGGGTTTTACACCCTGTTCTCCTCCACCTAAGTATAAAATGATCAGTCACTTTGATACAGCAGAACTGCCAGGGTTTCCATTTTAATCTGGATGACATTAAGGTCTTGATTCATTCCTATCATCCTGTGTGTCTTTCTTTCCAGGAAACATTTCTGAAACCTGTCGATACAGTCCCCTTTCAACAAATTTATTTGTACCAGGATGACAAGTTGTGTGATGGGCGGGTGCATGGAAGGGTGACACTGCTGGTTGACCAGTGCATGCCCACCTTGTCTGTGCCACTCAATACACCCTTGGAGACTGTAGCCATCCGTGTTTTCTTGGGTTGTACCATCACTGTTTGTTCTCTCTATCTGTCTCCTGGCTTAAAATTATGGCAGGGTATTTATTCACAGAATAAGTCATGAGAGTACAACCTCATGTGATTATAAATTTACGTACTCTTGTGCTACATTAATAGTATCTGTACATCACCGATAGGGAAACCGGTGTCAGTTTCATCATAAACACATATTTACTCAAAATACAAATTATTAGCTAGAAGGTGAGTTAGCGTTTTAATGCAACTAAAAATTCATAGACAAACTAAACACAACCATAATCATTTAAAAAGAATTTGCTATCTCACAATATTATTCATCAAACGTGTGAACTTGTAGTTATTAAGTTGTCACAAAAGTCAACAATGGTAAATGTTTATTAGATTGTGTAAGTTGAAAATGATACACATTTAGTGGTGATTTACCTTGCAAATCATGGATATATGAATTTACATAAAACTTGCATCTCTTTTGAATCCACGATTTTGGGGCGTTACAATGTTTATTAACAACATAATTCACTTTGTTGTGTGTCAGACGGGAATTAATTTGATATTACTGGTCCAAGTCTGTGATCACAACTTTGCAAGATTTTGTTCTAGGGGAAGAATTACGCCAAATCTAATCGGTATTCATTGACATTAGGCTATTCAACTATCAGTTGGAATGATCATCAACACAATGCCGGAAGCAACAATATTCGTTAGAGCACCGGAGAAGTTAACTGCATCGAAGTCAAGCAGGGGTTTAAGGGTGTAATAATAGATCCTTTGGAGAGAGCTTGATCATCTTCAGTAGGTATAGGCTTTTATTACACTGATTGTGCACTGCTAATGGCCAGTTTATAAACAACACTTTCTGCTGCAAACAAATAAACTGTTTGAACTAGTGCAAGTTGTTTTCTGGACAGAAAGCAATTTGTCTTGTGTGTCAGTTCTATTGCTGCAGTAGACAGTAACAGTGTACTAGACCAGTGGTTCCCAAACTCTTAGTCTGAGGCTCCCTTAATGTGGATAAAAAAGTTTGAGGCCCCCCAACCTATAAAAATGCCTCAAAAATGTGATTTATCAATTTCAAAATATAATTACTAATGAACTTTAATGCTATCTGTGAAATACTTTTTCTATTAAATTGTATTTGTAATTTAATACGGCTTTTTCTTATCAATTCATATGTATTATAATTAGATCATTAGAAATTTATTATGTTTCGGTTAAATTTGTAGACTGATGAGCAATTGAATACGCACTTAATTTTATGTAAGGCTATCTTATTTTCGTTTTAAAGTATAGAGCAATCCTGTAATTTAATTGATTCAACATAATTTTTATCGGCTTATTGTTTATTTAGGATTAAAATTAATTCAGCATCTTTGTTTTCGGCCCTTTTTTTTGCACTAGGTTCACATCCAAAATATCTATGCCTTAACCATGATCAAAGATAACGGCCTTAATTTGATAAATAAGAGTACCCAGGAATATCCAGAATCAAAAATCAGATATAGCATCATTGCATCACCAGTTTCTAATTTTATCCATTTCAAGCAAAAAACTGTCTAAAACGCTTTAGAAATTGGTCAGAATCTTTCATCATCCCTTTAGACACCAGCAGGTTAAAACCTTCTTCACATCAGTACTGTTGTTATATAGTCCAGGCATGTACCTGCACCATTTATATTCCCTTGTTGTGACTTGAAGTTCGAAAAGGACAGCGTTCTCAAGTTAATATATATATATAAACTTTTTTATTGTGCAATTTATTGTCAAATAGCAAGAAACACAAACCTCTACATATACAATACTAAGGTACTTTTCGTAATGTGTTCACATAAGATAAGGTTTTAGAGATAATAGTTACTAGATATTTGACATTAACATTATCAACTGAGTTAACGAAAATAATTCAGACATTATCAGTGATAAGTTTGGCACCTATCTATATTCTAAAAATCGTTACTAAGTGTGTACTCAGGCTTAGTTCTTTATTTGCAAATTTTATCATTTACGACTCCCCCTACATTTGATTACTAACCATGCTAATAAAGTTCTGGCTATAAACAACCTCTGTTTATTAATATTTTCACCCATATTTTACCTACATGTGTACCTACTGTGTATTTACATTCAGTAATGTGATCGTCTAAGAAACAGCTATGTATGTGTATAAATATTGAAACTTCAAAGAACGTTAATTCTATATAGTTTCACTTATATATATATATATATTTTTTTTTTGCAGGGGAAATATGCAGGAAATGCAGCGGGTTTCAAGATGATGT